AAAAAAAAAAAAAAAAAAAAAAAAAACCTATGGCAGAACAAATGAGACCTCAAGTAGCATCTGTTTCTACCTTTAAAGACACCACAAAAGTACACCTTTTGTTCTTCAGGGATTAGGTTTTTAAAACTAAAGTTCTGAATCTGTATTATTTCTAAACTACACAGGATAGTGTTTCATAAATACCTCCCAGACACACATGGATCAATCAAAAAATCATGTCTGTCATTAAACCAAGGAATGCAATCCTGTTTCAAAAGGCTGTCTTTTGTAGATGCTTTCATGAAGGGGACCTCAGAGCTCCAAACAAACATTAATTCAGCTTGACAACATCCCTTTATATTAAACCCCCCTTTTACAGCTTGATAAACTAAGCCAAAGAGAGAGAGACAGAGAAAGAGAATTGTGCAAGATCGTGTAGCAAGACTGGATCAGAGCCAGCAATTAATTCCAGACTTTGTATCTCAATTCCTAACCACAAACTCAAACTCTCCCTTATTTCAGGAAAAAAAGGCTGATGACTTTATTCTCAACTTACAACTCTCACTTAAATCAATGACAACTTTACATCGTTAAAAACAGGGATTTATCTTTGTACAATAGTACTGAGACTCTAATACTCATCACTACAAGACAATAAAGCAGCCACCTACAGGTCAATGTGTGTTATTTGTACCCCCCCATGGAAGGTGTGAGACTACCCAGCTCAAGAACCTGGCGCTTTAGTACAGGCTGCTTTCATTTCTAAATAATACATACATATTAAATCTTCCCCAAATTGATGCTGTCCAATGTGTTCAAATAATGAAGAGAGCACTGGCAGGAGAGCCACTGTGGTGTAGTTAATGATTTGTGTTACTCCCTTTGGCTGGTTTCTGGTGTGTGTAAACTGGCCTTGCTTAAGATTTTCCATTGTTTTCTCCAGATCCTCTGCAGCATTATCCAAAAATGCTCTCAGTGCCATTTTAACAGACTCCAGACCAGTTTTCATCACTGTCCTGCACATCACATGTAAGAAAGAAAAATCATATTCTATTAGAGAAATACAAAACAAATCCTAGTTATGGCTTATATGAAATAGTTTCTTCAAGTTTTTGTGCATGTATTTCATACTCAGTAAATTCTTTTTTATTTGAAGAAAGCAACCCATGGTAGCACTTTGTCCTGAAATTCTGTCTCAGTAAATTCTACAGATCATACTGGGCCTTTGATTGTTTTTACATTGAAAAACTTTCGGAACATAAGGTTTTAAATGTTTCATAAAATAAGGAATGAGCAAGCCTGCTATTCATCAGAATAGGGAATGTATACCAATTTGAAGTGGCATTCCAAAATAAATCATACATCACAGTCACATTTTTCATAGCAGAAATTAAAAATTATAATGTGTTAACTGAAAGTTTCCATTAAAATCCATAGTAGGAACAGAAAAAATATTATTAGCTATATGTTTGCTATATAGGTGCAATCAAATATTTGCTATATAGGTGCAATCAAATTGATACCATGCTTCAATTCAGCATAATTATTTTTAAACAGAAACACGTGGCTCATTAAATTGATTGTAGATGTTTCAGTCTTAGGAAAGTAATAACTATAGGAAGTTTCTCATTAGATTGTAGAAGAACTTGACTGTCCTTCTGGGAAATTGTGGAAAAGCTTTGTAGATCTGTCAGCGCTCAGCAAAGTGCATAGTTTACCAGCCCCAGGGAAAGCTTTAGTCTGTGCTCAAAATGGGCAGCTCTCCCAGGTAGAAAGCCCCACAAAAATCAGTTCAGAGTTCTTGTGTACAGACTGGAGGAGGTGAAGGTAATATTCAGTGGAGAGCCTAAGTCAACTTGCCAGTAAAGACACGTTTTAGAAATGGTGTATTTCATTCCATAAACATTCAATATGTGGCTTCTCTGATGAGACTTCAAGCAAAAGAATAAATCAAATCCACTATTTATGGCAGTTTTTGAGATACTTAGCTGCTCCAAATAGGTCAAGAAACAGCCAGTAATTTTTGGTCACTGATGACCTAATCTGGACTAGAAACAATAACCTAGAGAAAAAAGCTCTGTCTCACACTACCAAAAACCTTGGTCACCAAGAATAATAATAGATCCACATTTACCGTGGGAACTTTTTCTTCCATCAGGATACTCTTTTTCTGATGTCAAAAAGTGTGTGGCCATATACAGATAAACAGCTTCAAAATCCTATACATTATATGCTCAGTTACTTTCTAAATTTTATTTATACTTTAGAAAATATATTCAGCATTACCTTGCATCCAAGGTCTGACCCAGTATGTGAAGACAGTTGACTATTGAAGTTGCATCATTTCCTAAACAGGAAGTAAAATGACCTATCAATTAAGCTGAATTTGCATTAAAGCTTTCCTGTTTTCTTTTTCTTTTAACTGCATTTGTGATTTTACAAGAAATGGTAACCAAAACAGCAAAAAAACAATTCAACTTCTGCATAATCTTAACAGCCAAGTTAAAAACATGCAGTTTGTTTTCTTAACCTGTTTACACAGATGCAGTGACTGGAGGCACTAAAGCATCTCTCATCGAAGAGCTGAGGCACTCAAAGCATCACATCAAATCACTAAGGCACTCAAGAAGAGATGTGGTCTTAATTAGAGCTGCAGTGCATCATGTGTGTTTTATTTCAGTTTTGCAAATATAATTTTAATTGATTCATATAAGAGCAGAGGAAATTTTCTCTCTGTCTCAGACAGTGAAAACTATTTAGATCTCTTAATTTGGTCCTGCCCACTCATGGAGAGACACACATTTATATAAGACAGCACAGAAATGTTAGACCTTGAATGTTGTAGCTAAGCTGAAGTGATCCACAATGGGATCTTTCAAATCACTGATATAACTTCCTGAAAAGTTACACAATTGTAACTTGCTGTTTCTACATCTAACACTTACTTATAAACTGTTTGATGATAAAGTAAAAAACTAACTAAAGCATCTCATGTGACATACCCTGACTCCCTTTAAATGAGCTAATCAGGTATTTTGCACAGCATCGTTGGCTAGCCGCCAAGAATTTACCAGCTTCTTAAGCAGGCTTTGCAGCCTGCACTGAGCTTCCCCCTTCTAGAGCTAGGCTCTTAGAAGTTCCAGAGATAGCCAGTGCAAATTTAGCACAAACATGTCCATGGGCACGTCTACACAAGACACTGCCTGTGCAGCACCAAAAAATACTGTGCAGTATCATGTCATAGCATGGACAGTGCTAATATGCTACTGTGCAGTAGTATTAAGCTACTGCACAGTAGCATCACCTAAAAGACATTTGCCAGTGCTACTGTACAGTAACTCTGGTTACTGTACATTTATTTAGTACTTGGTAATACAAGTACTAAATAAATGCATAAACTATGGTCCCTGAACTTATCGTAATGTTGATATGCACTGAGATGTTGTCTTCAATAGGTGCCACCCTATTTAAAAAAAAAAAAGAAAAAAAAGATGTTTCACCAGTTATACAAAGGGTTAATTTTGGTCATATGCATAACTCATATACACCCTCCCCTATTTAGAATCTATGAATTCCCTCCCTACTTAGGAAAGGCCACCATCATTCTCATATTTTTGACACTCATAAAACTAATGAACCTTTAATAACAAAACAGTAGATTAGTAAAATACTTTAATGTAGGTTACAGGAAATAATGTCATGAAATTCGGTCAGTGGGCCAACTATTTTCAAGTGAACATATATTGAAAAATAGTTCTTTTTAGTGAAAATAATGTAAAAAAGATGCCAGAGAAGAGGATGCAGTGGTGGCATTTGAGAAGTTTCCCTTCTGTGACTCAATCTGAAAGCAAGAAAATGTTAATAAGAGTGTGTTCTATTTACATTTACAGTTAAAGTCATATGTTTACTACATATCAAATAGTTTCTATGAAGACAGTAAACAGAAGACAACAAGTATTCTGGGCATGGAAAACTCGTCAATCTTTAGGTTTGTCTTTCCAGAAGATATATTTGAGTGCTCTTCTGGAGAGTAAAATAAGGGTAAATCCACTGAGACATGCAAACTTGACACTGAAGTGACGTTAGAAGATTGACATGGTAACCACAGCTGAAAGGTTCTAAATCAAAGCTCTGATCCTGAAACAAACTTATTCACATGTGTAACTTGACAACTGTGGGACTAAAAGTTTTTGCTAGAACTGGGCTTCAAGTATAAACTCCAAGTTTAAATCATTATAAACTAATCACAGGTTACTTGCAAATCTCTACCATAAATGTACTAAACAGGCTTAGAGAACATGGTAGTGAGAATACTGATAACGATCTGTTAACACTGCTATTCATATCGTTTCTGCTGTTGCTGGTACAATATATTTTTAGGAAAAATCTCTACTGTAAATAGAGATTCCATTAGCAACGTTTTGGCAACAGGATACATTTGTTTAAGAGAAAGATTAAAAATTGACAGAAACTTTAACAAGCACAAAATACACAACCTTCTTGATCACTGCATTTGCCTACTTCTGGTTATAAAGTAATCTGTATATTTTGGAGAATGGGTGCATGTGCTTCAGTTAGACAAATGATTCTCAACCAGGTTGTGAGGAAACCCTGGGGTGCCACAAGATCCTGTGAAGGGTGTTGCAGAAGGTGTGAAGTGAAAAGTGAGGTGTGATTATAATAATGAGGTGTGAAGATATAAGCCGGTAAAGGCAGGCTCAGGGTCTCCCTGCCAGGCCGCTTCCCATCTGGCACTGCCTAACCCCTCTGCTCTGCAAGAAGATAGGCACTGAAATAAATAAATTAGTTTTGTAAGAAATAAATTAGTTTTTTGGAATGGGCTGCTACTGAATTTATACAAGTTATGGCAAGGTACTCAAGTCAAATAAGGAGTGCCT